GTCTGAGCTGTTGCCTGGGGACATTGTCCCTTCCCAGCCATGACAACATCCCCAGCCTGCCCACAAAGCTCAGGAAAAAGGGCTGTGCAAACTGCAGAAGCTGAATAAAACATCAACTGAACATAAACTGAATGAACATCATTCTGAGAAGGAGCCTGTGAGTGAGGGCAGTGCTGTGGGAGAGCTCAGTCCCCATCACAGTGCATGCCCTCTCACAGCTGGCACTTCCAGCACAAATTCAAGGGGAGGAAAAATTAAAATATTTCCTGATTTCCATTTCCTGTAGAATGGAAATTTGTAACATTTGTTCTGAAGCATGACAACATTGTATGTCTGGGCACTGGGTCTTGGGGCACTTTCAGACCCCTCAGAGTGTTTCTGTATGGCACTGGGGTGGCACTGCCAGCTGGGGGACAAGGGGATGGGGACAGGGTCCTGCCCCGTGTCCCCAGGACTGTCTGTGCTGGGCTGTCCATCCCAGGCATTTCCCAATTCCCAATTCCAGCACTGCTCAGGGGTGTCTGAGCTGGGGGAGGGTCCCTGTGCCATCTCTCACTGGCTTTTGTCAGTCTTGGTTTCTATCCCAGCTCCTCGCTCCTCCCCAGTTTTCTCACAGCATCTGTTCTCCTGCACAGGGATTTCCCATTCCCTCCTTGCAGCCTGCATGTTGGGAAAGAGGGAGAGAAGGGGAAAACTGGGTGGCTGCTGGTCTGCATGTCAATTATACATCACAGGCTTTGCTGCTGCTTCAGAAGCTTCTAATAATAATTATTATAATTAGGGCACTGGGAGAGAAATGTGCTGAGATCAGGGAGGAAAGCAGGAAAGCCAGGCCAGAATTAATTAGCCACTTTTATCTAAGGATCTCAAAGCATTTAGACATTAATTAATGAGTGCTGTGGTTAAGCCAGCGCGATGCTCCTTTGCCGCGGTCGCGGGCTCAGCCCCTCCTTGCCCACCCTGGCTGCTCTGCAGGAGCTCTCCCAGCACTGCAGGACACAGAAATGGTTCTTGGCTCCCTGTGGTCCCCTGTGTCCCCAGCAGCTCCGCAGAGACACGGGCTGGGCAGGTGTGAGCTGTGCAAAGCCCCAGCCCTGAGCACCCTGAGCACCCTTGGGCAGCCATGGGCACCCCTGAGCACCCTTGGGCACCCTTGGGCACCCTTGGGCACCCTTGGGCAGCCATGGGTACCCCTGAGCACCCTTGGGCACCCTTGGGCACCCCTGAGCACCCTTGGGCACCCTTGGGCACCCTTGGGCACCCCTGAGCACGCTGGGCACCCTTGGGCACCCTTGGGCACCCCTGAGCACCCTTGGGCACCCATGGGCACCCGTGGGCAGCCAGGGCTCCCTGCCCAGCCCAGCCCAGCCCATGGAGCTCCCAGCTGTGCCACCACACCGGCCCTGGGCTCCAACAAAACTCTCTACTGGGACAAAGTCCCTTCTGTCTCCTGGCTTACCCCGGTGTGCCCATTGTTGGTGAATATTCATTACGCGAAATTAGCATCTAATAGGTCTTAATTGACTTATAAAAGCCTTGTTTTGTGGTAATGAAGTCTATACTGTAGCTGTGCCTGGTGGCAGCTGGTGGGTCCCTCTGCCCCAGCTGCCACCTCGGTTCAGTCCCTTCTCCTTGCCCACAGTCCATGGAAGATGTGGAGATGTGCCTTTCCCATCCCTGGCAGCGTTCAAAGCCGGCCTGGAGAAACCTGCTCTGGTGGAAGGTGTCCCTGGCCATGGCAGGGGGTTGCAGTGACATTAACATCCCCTCCAGTCCAGACCATCCTGGGGCTGTGTGCAGAGTTCCACTGACCATCCCAGCAGTGCCCTGGCCATCAGCTGCAGTAACGAGCTGGAATCCACACAGCTCCTGGAAGCGCTCTCAGAGCACGTGGGTCAGGGTTTTACAGGGGCTCAGTTCATAATGCCTTTGTCCAAGCCTAGGAATTGATAAAAAATTTCAATTTAGCCATTATTGACTGTTTTCAGACAAGACACAGGGCAGCTTTGAAGTGAGTCTGTAAATTAGATAAGCCCTGCAGCTCCCAGACTGAGAGACTCCTTCATCATTGACAAGGAAGAGGAAGGAGGAGATGAGGAGCCTTCCTGACTTCTGTAAATTGTTCCAGTAAATTGTGAGCACTGTGCTCCAGGCTGGGTGAGGATGGAGACACAGGAGAGCAGGGCAGTGCCAGGCAGAGCTCACAGCCCCGTCCCCAGGCTCTGCTCCCCGGCTCAGGGCTCTGAATGGCACCAACACCTATTTCTCTTTTTCTTTCTTTTTCCCCATTCTTCGATGGGGGTCTGGAGCAGGGGCAGAGCAGCAAAAAGTCACCTCAGTCCATGGTGTGAGGAAGCTTCCCCAGCTGGCCCCACAGGAGCTCTGGTGCAGCTGTGACCTGTCACCGTGTGTCCCTGTCACCGTGTGTCCCTGTCACCCTGTGTCCCATCACCGTGTGTCCCTTCACCGCTGCCAGCCCAGGGTGGAGCTGCAGCTCCAGCCACCCCCTGCCCATTCCCTGCCCCTCCTGCAGCCCTGTCCTGCTGTGGAGAGCCTCCGGCCCGGCTGTGGCGCTGGGGACAGCCCGTGGCTCCTGTCACATCACAGCAGAGCTCGGCCGGGGCTGGGGGGCTGTGCAGGAGCTGGGGGTGCCCATTGCCAGGGCAGGGAATGCTCCAGCTGACCTTTGTGGGCACGGAGCTGGTCCCGGTGCCAGCTCCCCCCTGCTCACGGGCTGCTGGGCACCGCTCCAGCTGGAAAACACCGGGAATTGTCCCTGTCCCGGGAATCGTCCCTGTCCCGGGAATTGTCCCTGTCCCGGGAATTGCCCCTGTCCCGGGAATCGTCCCTGTCCCGGGAATTGTCCCTGTCCCGGGAATTGCCCCTGTCCCGGGAATTGTCCCTGTCCCGGGAATCGCCCCTGTCCCGGGAATTGTCCCTGTCCCGGGAATCGTCCCTGTCCCGGGAATTGTCCCTGTCCCGGGCTTCCCGAGCTGGGCTCCGGCAGAGGAAGGAGCCAGAGCCCGCGGTGGCTGTGAGCAGGGCTGGTGTGCCGGGGGCTGTTCTGGGGGCAGGGCTGGGGTCTGGGGAGGGAAGGGCGTGCGGGGGGCGATCCCTGCAGGACAGAGGCTGCCGGTGCTGGATGCA